GGTTATATTTTATGTCTGTTTCCATAGCAAACCATGCTCAAAGAGGCTCAGGATACTTATAATAAAATGTAACGTTTCAAAATTGCCACCAATTCCAAGACATCAACAAAATGTAAACAATCTCACAAATATTAATCACCTAATCAAAACATTTCACATTAATAAATGTTTACAAAGGTTAAACTATCAGCTGATAATTACCATTTTAAGAACTACCAATAAAAAATATAATCCAAATTGCAGCAGAAGAAAAAATCCAGGACTCGCGATTGCCCCCAGCTATAACTCCTAAATAAGACGCAACTTTGATGGTCTCTCTGTCAGTATCAGGGGCACTTTTGGAGCTGGAGTTCAGTTGGGACAGCACTCTTAGAGGAGAGGTAAAATAAGACAGGCAGAGGAACAGTACTTGGGTCTTCCAGAACTCACAGTTAGATTGACTCTCTCTGTGTGGTGGCCATTTCTTCATGTATGCCAGGAGACACTTTCTGTAGTTTTCAAGTGATGAGCATGAATGTGTGAAGCTCTTTGAATCAGCCCTGAATAATCATGTGCAGAGAAATCAAGTCACGTACCTGCACATGTGAGCCACCTTAAGATGTGACAAGTGACCAAATGCATACATCCCGTTCAGTTATAAGCTGCTGAAATCTCTGACGTGATGAAAAAGGGCTTTCTTTGTCTGCCTCAGAAGAACACAAAGCTCTTTTGACACAGCTCTGACTTGATCCTAAGTTTCTAGGAAGTCTGGCTATGCTAACATCCATGCTAGAAGCGGTCCATCACTCCCATCTGCCCACCCTATTTGGGATCTAAAAGCACATGCCTTTTCTTTCTTTTTGGGGGGGCTTGGTATTTAAGAGCTTTGAAGTTCACCTTTAATAAGAAGAAAGCTGATGTAGCACAATGGAAATAAAACCTTTAGAAATAGTGAGATGGGCATGTCTGAAGAATTCTTTATTCCCTCGCTTGACTGAGCCACTGTTGAACTAACTGGTGATAAATGTTTCTTGGGAAGCAGGAATTAATCAGGGAAGCTAAGAATTAAATGCAATGTGACCCCCAGAGATGAGACCTTGTGATAGCTGAGCTAATCAGTCTTGGTCAACCAGATGTCCCTTTATGACCTCACATTTCTAGGCATGTCCAAGCAGATCTGAAGAAATGAAGCAAATGTGCTGTTTGAGTCTACACAGTCTAGTCAAGACCAAAGTCTATAAACTCCAGCCTTCTATCTCCATCAGTGATCATCCAAGAGTCCCTAAGGAAGGTCACAGCTTAGATGGTGGAGACGACATTCTTGGTTGTTCACGTCACCTGGTAAATCGGAGTCATCCCACAGTTAAGGGCACATGATCAAGTCATCTTGATGAAGCAAAACAGGTCTGGGTCTAAATGCCTGGGATGAAGGCCACCAAAGAACCCCATGTCAGCCACCATGTTCCATGATGGAAGAAAGATGGGATCTAATTGTGGCAAATATTTATCATTATTTGTGCAGTTGGGAACTAGATGTAAGAAAGTATCTGGATGTGATGTATGTGGGGTACATGCTGTGAACCAGTAAATGACTCAACAATATGGGTGGGTGAAGAGGCAAAGGATCCCTGACTCTTAAGAGGTTTTCAAAATGTGCTGCTATGTTTTTGCTCTTTTTTGCAGGGAGAATTGTTGAAGTTTTTCATTTACATTGTTTGCTTTGCATATCTTGAATATATTGCTTTTGCAGCACAACTTGGTAGTAAGTTGCATAATGTATGAAATAAATTGTTGTATTTTTAACTTTTTATCAAGAATGTTGATGTTTTATATTTTTGTAAACCGCTTAGAGGTGTTTTGTTTTCTTTTTTAACAATCTGTTGGTATATAAGTTTTTTATATAAAAAAACATAGTAATAATTTTGTTTTTTTAAACATATGCACATTTTTTAAAAAATATAGAAATGCATTTCCATTGTTATGGCTAAGAGCAGGCTTCCTCAACCTCGGCCCTCCAGATGTTTTTGGCCTACAACTCCCATGATCCCTAGCTAGCAGGACCAGTGCTCAGGGATGCTGGGAATTGTAGTCTCAAAACATCTGGAGGGCCAGGGTTGAGGAAGCCTGGCTAAGAGTTTCTGATAAACCTGTTATTCATGAGTTTCTTGAATTCCTTTTTTTAAAAAAATAAGCTTGGTGGCCATTATCACATCTTGCGGAAATAAATTCCATGAATGCATGATGCATTGTATTTCCTTTCTTCTTCAGATGCAAGGACTTCCCACAGGACAAGGGGACCTGATGGATGACAGCACCTTGCCTTTCTCCCAGATATAGATTTCTTCAAACCCCAGCTGTACTCTATATAACAACAAATGGAGTGCGCTTCTGTGGATGTACCACACCAGGGGTTGTGCTGGATAAATAGCTGGTTGGGATCAAGGTAGGAAGAGGTGAGAAATCCTGAAGGAAATTTTGTGTAGTTGCTATGTTTCTTCTGCTGAAATCCTATACTCACGTATCTGAGAGTAGGCCCTATGGAACTTAATAGAGCTTACATTTGAGTAGGCATGGACTAGTTTGTAATGTTAAATTCCACATTTTTTATGCGTCTCAGCTTTAATGTTTTCTAGAAGCACCTGTCTAGCCTTCCTTCCTGCAGAGAACAGCTTCAATGTGTGGTTGGAGAATGATCTAAGGTCCTAGCAATCAAGAGATAAGAAACATAATGCCTGTTATTTCAAGCCAATGCCAAGATTTCAAGGGCCTTGATGATCAAAGCAATTGCTTCAACATTGGTGACAGAGAAATGGATTTCCATCAGAACAGTTTACTGCATTTCTCTGCCCCGCCCTGCCCCCACCTTATTTCACTCTGTTCCTCTGATTTTTGAACATTTTGTGTGGCAGTCTTCACTGCGGATGGTTTAAAAGTTCGCCTGCACAAAACTCAACTTCTAATGTATTGTACCCCACTTAAGGAAACCTTCTAACTCAGACCTCAAGGATCATTTTCATATCTACATCACAATTCAGAAAGTCATTATTTTTCAGACAAGCACATGAAACTAATAGTTGAATGTTGTCCATGTACGTACGATATGACCAGCCAAAGTTAGGTACTTTTATGCTGCATTGACAGTGGTCAACAACTCTGGGCCCAAAAAGCTCAACAACTCTGGGCCCTCTCCCCCATTTTCTGAAATTTGAATCCCCAAAAATAGGGGGCATGTTATACATGGAAAAATACGGTATTTATATACATACCTCGATTAATGTATCTGAGAGTCAGCCCTGTTGAACACAGTGGGACTTAACTACAGGGCAAACATACACAGGATTATTCTGCAAAGATTCCTTCACCCATTCTTTTAAAAATGGAAAATCAGTGTTGAACAAGTTCAAAGCCTTCCAGTGATGGGTGCATGAAGAAGTGTTGGGACCAAGCAATCAAGTGCTGTGTGTTTCCACCTTATGTTATAGATCTGGCAGAACCTACTTTTCTCCAGGAATATATACACCGGACAATAGTTTGTCCAAGGCTGCTGCACCATTCACATAATGTAAATTGCACACCCCAAGTCCCATTTATTTCAGTGAGAGAGGTATGTGTGTGGCTATATACTTGCCATTGGTACCAGTGGACATTCAAATGACTTAGGTTGGACCAGCTTGATAAACCATCTGGTTCTGCTCCACACAAGAGACTTCAAAAATAGGGTGTGGAGTTGGACTGCTGCCTGATTCTGCCCACAGATTTGGCCATAAATCCATGTGGTTTGCACATGTGTGAAATGAAGACCTTGCACCAGAATCGGTCTGAGAACTATAACAACAACAATAAAAACAGAGCAAAACAGGCTCATTCCTCGCGGATGTTCTTCTCAGAGGTATTTAAACAAGCTGTGGTAGATTTGAAGATTGGTGTGGGGCAATGGAAAATATGAATGAGAAAGTAAGCAGTAGAGATTGCACTCTAATGAGGTACAGTGGGGAAATGTTTGACGCTCTTCACTGGAAATGGGTCAGGAGCAAAGAGAGCTCTGCGATAGTTCAGGTAAGAACTTGTTCAACTGCAACTGATTCTGACAGAACTTTCCACTTACTATGGGCATTATAAACAGATTGCTTTGTCACATATAACACAACATTCCCACAGCTCATAAGGCACATTGTAGTAGAACTCTTGAACACACAAACTATTCCACAGAATGATTTACAGTTGAAAGTATACTGAAGAGCTTATGCACACCGAATTCCATGCTCAGTAGTTGATGTATTTAGAGAAGGAGTGGGGAACTTCTGGTCCATGGGCCAATCTTGGCCTGCCAGGGAGTCCAATTTGGTTGACAAGGTCATTTCCCGCAAAACACACCCACCTGTTAATCAGCTGACATCACTGTGTGACATCAGATGATGTGTAGGGGCAGGATTCGATCCTGCACAGAGCAAGATTGAACCCTCCGCTTATCAGCTGGTGAGCAGAATTTCAGTCCTGATGAGTGCTGCTTAGCCAGTGTGTTTCCAGGGCTCATGGAGTAGGGGGTGGATATGACATGACTCCTCCTGTGTGACCTGGATCTTCTTATGTTACTGAAGCAGCATGAGAAAGACAGGTGCGCATGGCTTCCATACTGCTAAGAAAGGTAGTCAAAGAGGCTTTCTTAAATGCTCCAGATATATCAAGTTTACTATTCAAGCATTTCTCTGTCCTTATATTAGCTCTGCCTCTTTGTAGCACAGGATTGGGGTGAGGTTACAAATAGATGAGCACCCCTTTGCTTTGTCCAAAAGGTGGAATTGTTTGTGAATACAAGCAAGACCAAGGGTGTATGGAAGGTCCCTGCTGTCTCCTCCTTCACATGTACCACCCAAAGGCCTACCACACTAACCTGGGGCATGGGAAGGGGTGCTGTGGCTGTGAAGCTACCCCAGCCTCTCAGAAAAACTGGAAGCTGCCTTATACCAAGTCAGTACTTGGCAGCAGCTCTTCAGGGTTTCTGGTTATCTCCCAGCTGCACCTGGAGATTCCAGGGAGTGAACCTGGGGCCTTCTGCATGCAGAGCAGATGTTCTACCACTGAGCTAGGACCCTTCTCAAAGAGAGTTCCCAAGGAGTGGAGCTGGGACAAGTTGCATCAGTTTCTGCCAGGGAGCTGACATGCGTCCCTTCAATGTATGCTTCTGCCTTCTCATACCTTGGGCCAATATGGTGGTGGGCTTGTGGGGAAAGCAAAGGAAAGGAAAGTCAACAGTGGCAGAGGCAGCAGTGGCCCTGCAGGTCAAATATGCTGTGCTGATTGCCTTCTTGTGCTCACTTATATAAATCCCAATGAAAGTTAGTGCTAACAGGAGTGTTTCCTCCTCCAGAGCTAACAGCGGGAGGAGGGGGATATGAATTGGCAAGCAAGCAACAATCAAGGCTCTCTTCAATCCACATCTACATGCATTTTTAAAATTAATATTAATTACTTAATTGCAAGACCAGGAACATTCATCAGGACTACGATGGAGTTGGGTTTGATCCTCCTCTCCTGCTGGGGTCCCAATTAAAATCCCCCCTGTGTGTACTGCTATTAGCCGTGGTGGTAGGAGGTGGGGAGGAAAGGTCCTGTTAAACCCTTACTGTCACTGGGATTTATTCTCAAATAAGTGTGCATCAGGACTGCAGCTTTCATCTCATCTATTTTTTTCTCCCAGGCTGTTCCTTTAAAGCTTCAGAAAGAAATCTCAATGGGAATTCATTGTGAAAAAATTATCCTCTGGCTACACATAAATCACTATTTGTGTCTCAAAGGTGATTCTGAGGGCAAGTCCTTACATTGTTGTTCCCCAGCCTGGGAGCTTCCAGAAGTTTTGGACTGCTGGCTCATGCTGATGGGAGTTGCAGTCCAAGACATCTGGAGGACCCCAGGTTGAGAAAGGACCCCTGGACAGTTAAGTCCAATCAAAGGTGACTATGGGGTTGCGATGCTCATCTCGCTTTCAGGCCGAGGGAGCAGGCATTTGTCCACAGACAGCTTTCCGGCTCATGTGACCAGCATGACTAAACCACTTCTGGCAACGGAACACCGTGACGGAAACCAGAGTGCATGGAAATGCCATTTACCTTCAGACCGAAGCAGTACCTATTTATCTACTTGCACTGGTGTGCTTTTGAACTGCTTGGTTGGCAGGAGCTGGGACAGAGCAACGGGAACTCTCCCTATCATGGGGATTTGAACTGCCAACCTTCGGATCAGCAAGCCCAAGAGGCTCAGTGGTTTAGACCACAGCGCCACCTGCGTCCCCAGGTTGAGAAATGCTGGCTTGCATTATATGCCACACTATGGCTTCCCATGGCTTCCTCACAGCAGAAAACCCATATAAATAATGTGGCACTGGGATGATATGAACTTAACTATAATTTCTACACCATCAGGAACATTTTACTTCTCCAGGAAGAAGCCAGAAGCCAATAAATGGATTGTGAGCAACATACTAGGCTAATTCAGATCCTCCCTCCCCACTTCCATGGTGCCGTTTCTCCAAGGAAAAGCACTTCAGACTCATTGATTGCTTTGCACCAGAGTTATTGTGAGCCCATTGATGACTTGCCATCCCTATTTGGCTGGACTGTTTTTATCAGCACAGTGGGGCTCAACCTCACTTGCAAAATTAGCTCTGGTTTGGAATCAATCAGATCTCCTGAAAAGACTGAAAGAGGAGGGGGAAAGTAATACATTGGGAAGGCAGCCAACAAACAAAAGCCCTTATTGTTGTAGTTTAGCCTCCTCTAATAATCCTGATCGAAACCTTTGTTTTGCTGTTTTATGACATATGTCTGGAAGCTGATGACCTCCTTGCCCAAGAAGTCACTCGAGGGCTTCTTGCTAACAATCCAATCGAAAGGCTGAATAGCGAGGGCATTCCTGAGCTGATGAGCTGGGATTTCTCTCTGTGCTTCCTGATGTTGTTCCACTTGAACATCTGTGTGTGGTTTTTGCTCATGCAACTGGGCAGGTCACTGGTTGCTTGAAGCCTACAGGACCCAAACTTCACAATGGGCTCAGTGGAAATGGAGGGGGGGAAGTGTTTTCACCTGTGAGCTGCTTGCTCAGGGAGCCTGTTTGGCAGCGGTCCTTTGGACAAGTGATTAACTGAACACATTGGCTGCCAAGCACTGCAAAATAAAAGAATTCCCTGTGGAAATGGTAGCGGAGCTCTGTTCTAATTCAGCTGCAAGTAATGCAGAAATGGCCATTACAGTGATTTAGTGACTACCCTAAAGACCTTGGCAGCTGGTAGGTTCATTTAGGCAAGGAAGTCGCTCACAGGAGATGCAACTGAGCAGCATATGCTAACAATGGTCCACCAATGCCTCGGTGTTATTTTTGTTACTGAAGCTGAGCAGCATCGGGGAGCCATGATTTAGCCCTTTTTGGCTGAGAATGAAATGGATATTTTTAAAGATACTCAGCAACTGCATGAGTTGGTTAGCTTTGCAACAAATGCTGATCTTAACATTCCCTGCATCTAATATCTTCGAACATCTGTTCCCAGATTCCATGCAGATCTGTGGCTATCTCCAAAACTGGCATGTGAATTATAATGGACTTTGTTTTCTGTCATGTAAAGCAAAGGAAATGTCTTCTGTATAGCCCACAGTGGAACTTGATAATTGATGGAGACAATCAAAGCTCATTAAGACTCTTGGCTACAGTATGAAGCACTTGAAACCCAGCCACCAGGAATGTGTAATGATTATGGCACCACAACTAGATGGAAACCTGAGTCATGGCAGCAGGGAAGAGCTGGAAAAGCTATTGTAGGTTGCTCAGTTGTCCACATTGCATGGATCTGGAGGCTATGATCTGAGTTCTGATACTCATTTACAGCACCCCTGTGTATAGCTGCTCAACCTATATACGTGTGAAGAGACAGATTATTAAGTGGACACCATAAGTTTCCACTAGTCTTTCTGCAGAGAGGAAGTGGCCCAACAAAGGATGCACAGATCTTCTCTCTGCTCAGAGAAGGAAGAGGAAAAACCCTATAAACCTTTTCCCAGATGCTTTTTGGGTTGTGGGGGAGGGATGCAGAAACACTTCCATGTCCGGTATATGCAACATAGAAAGCAACCCTACATATTTGCAGTGGTGTGTTTACTAAGATCCAATTCACACGTAACTTTTCTGGCATCTTAAAGTTTCTAGGATGATTTCACTGGGCCAAGTTCTTCAGGTGTGCATTTCTTTTATGCCAATCAGAAGTTGAGAACTGGCGCTTTCTCTTCCAGAGCAACTTCTGTTCAGTTGTTTGCTTTGGCATGGTTAATGCCAGTTTACACCACTGGAGGGGGCGTTCAAACAATGCATTCTTGCAAAATGGATGTGAGGAAATCGTTTTGTGATAACTTTACCATGTCCAAAAGAAGACTGCAAGCTGAGCCTATGGAGTAGTGGGGTGGGTGGAAAGAGAAGAAAAAGGTCTAAATTGAGGAGGACTTCTACCTTCAGGGTTTCCACTTTACTTAAGTTGCCACCACCAACCCAACTCGGTTAAAAATTGACCTCCTCAAGCTGCAGAACTGGTACTGTTAAAAGTGCCACATAAAATATTTTTCTACTTTTGTAAGAAATTGATCTTATAACATGGCTGCACCAACACTTTGAAACTCCTTGACTATTGACATCAGGGATCTTCACTGTACTCTGTTCAGATCCCGTTAAAAACATCCTTGTTCAAAGATGCCTAGCTTATCAGCAAATGAACTGGTAAGGGAAGGGAGGGGGTCTTGAACTTTAGAAAATAGACCTATTCAGTATGAAGCACTTTGGAAGCTCCTCAGTTCAGTTTTAGTCCAAATCCCAATTCAAAAATGAAGCTTTGTGCCACACCATTCAGTAATATTGACAACTCAAAATATGGTTTTGCAGCCCTTCTTAAGTAAGTGAAACCTTCCAAATTTCAGACAAATAAGGCCAGGGGTTGTGCTAGACATCTTTAAATTATTCTTATTCTTGTTCTTATTACTAACCAACTGTAGCTTTTTTTGCAGAACTGACTGAAATTTGCAGGCTTGTTTGTTACTGTGGAATAAATCCTGCCAAATGTATGAAGAATATCTGCAGTCATTTTCCTGGAAAATCTAGGGTATCTTCTCTAGCGTTTTATGGGAAACCTGTATGAAAATAACACACACACAAGAGGTGCCCCATGTAAGAAGCCTGTCAAATTACAGACAAATTGGCCAAAGGCTTTTTTGTGGTAGGTGCCTTTGAGATTGAGTTGGGGTGAAGAACTAAAAGGGATTTCATTTTTCTTCTGAAAACTCCTGGCATAAGCAAACAGTTTTAATTCACACCTCCTGTACCAAGAGGGGAAAGCCACTAATGTGTTGATATATGTATACTCACTGTACCACATGCTCTTGCCTACACATGAATACATACTCAACTGATGTGTATTTTTCGGTCCTGAGTTCAGAATTGTGGTGCACTGTGGAGCAAAGTCCATTTATGCCACATTCATATCAGGGGATTAGCCATCAGACAGCAGGCTAAAGCTTAGAACTGGGGATTTATTACAAAATTGAGAAAAGCATATTTAAAGTGCAGATTGTTACGAAAGTAAACTATAGGTGATACAAGTAGCCTGATACCAGCACCACAAAGTGGTTGAGGTCGAGGAAAAGCCTAATGCCAAATATGACACGATGAGATGAAACGAGTGTGGCTCAATCTCATTAAAGAGGGAAGCTAGAAAAATAAACAGTGCTATTTAGGAGAGGCTGTGAGATACAAGCAGAATAGAAAAGAGAAAAACCAGTTTATATATATTGCCTCTCCTAGAGTGAAGAGAGGAAAGAAGGTGTCTTATTCAGAGGAAAATGTATGTGGATCATCTTTGGTTCCAAGCCATTGTAGATGTTTGAGCTGTTTATGGTGAGGAGCCTTGCAGGTAAAGCAAGGTGGGAGAGAGGGGTGAAGAGGAAATATGAAAGGGAGTTGCATGTTCCCTTGTGTCCCTGACTAAGCCAAGCACAAAACAGCCAAAATGGACAGCAGACAGGAGACACTGGGGTGTGGGGAGGAAGGAATGGGAGCCAAG